GAATGCCAAAAGAAGTATAGATTGATAAAGCCCTAATTTTATTACAATATATCTATTGTAGGAATTGCTAAATACGATATATACTCGGCATGTAAAATTCATAACTGGTGGCAGTAAAATGAACTTGAAACGTGATTTTCCACAATACGCAATATTTTCATTCGATCACTGTCAACAGTATTTTTTTTCAGCCTATCTTATATATGTTCTGGCAGGTTGATTAAAACTGTGGACGCTTGTCATTCACTACTGAAATATTGTATTAGTTATTTTATATTAAAGTTACGCAACGTTAAAACTCGATACAAAGCTCCAGCTGACATTTTAAAACTTATTATGATAAACACACCATTTTACATAATGAGATAATAGTTGTTTTCTTTCTGGCGATCGCATCAACAAAAAGATTGCGAATTTGCTTGTTCTTTAGGTTGTTTGGTTCTACTCAGCAAAGACATTTGGATGACATTGTAAATAAATTCGGGTTTATCAACACACTGTCTTTTTTTTATGCTTGACTTTCATAAAAAATACTTATCCTATTTTAACCTGCCATTGAAATAAATAAATATTAATGGTTTTATATTGGTTGTTATATATATATATAAAAAAAAACGAGTACAAACGGTTTACGGCTAGTAAAATATTGTATGTAAAATTTTATACCGTGTGGTGTTTGCAGATTGTGATGAAATATATTCGGACAGATGCTCGAGAAGTAGTCTAACTTCACAAAGTTTCCTTTGTTCAAGGATTAGGCGCAGCCTGGAGGTTAGCGTGCTCGGATATTGAATCCGAAGATTTGTTGACCTGTTGTTGCAAAATTTCCTTAATACTTTGGGACATCCTACTATTCGGTTAGACAAGAGTAGCCCAACAGTTGACGGTGGGTGCTACTGACTAGATGTACTCCCTCTAGTCGATCATTTCAAAATTCGGGACGGCTATGCACAGACAACTCTTGGGTACCTTTGCGCGAAATTCCAAAATAAACAAATCTTTATTCAATATAATGATAAACTATTTACATTCTTTTGTGACTCATACGCTATTACGAACAAACAGACAGTCCCGAGCATCACGCCGTTGTCTCAGTTCAAATTAACGTCATCAAAGAAATATGACAAACAGAATGTAAATGTTCAGTCTTATGTATCAAAATAAGACATAATATTAGAAGCTTATGTATGTTTTATTGTTGTAGGACATACAAATATTCTTAATAACGAATACAACGTTTGGTTCTCTCTTTGACCTCATATCTGAATCTAAGATAGAAAGAAAAAGAAGACTTACGACTGAAGTGTGGAATGAAATAGCTTATGAAAAGTGTGAAAAAAATTAACATTAAAGTTGAGTTACAATTTTGGCTTTTAATTTCACTGCTCTAAAACAAGAGCTTAAAACTTATTTTCGAGTCATCGTTTACAGTTGTAATAGTTAAAAGCATGTAGTACTGCGTTTTGAAAGAGGGAAGAAAAAACATGGTATTCAAGCATATAACCAGTACGTCAACTTATTTCTCAATCGTAATGGCCTTTAATTAAGCTTTTCTGTACACGAATGACGAGCAAGAAGTCTGCAACAAACACGGAGAAAAAGAGAACACGGTGAGTTGGGAAAGAGGCCATTGGCAAGCCTACTTGGAAATCTCAGCGGCGGGGAGATAGCTGACAGAAGATTACAAGCCTTGAAACCAGCGGACCAGGTCCGAGTAATTGGCGCGGATGACGTGGGGATATGCTCTACGTACAAGGCTGTTGCTTAGGCTCAAGGAATGGCGGGTTGCTAACGCCAACAAACTAGAGAGGGAAGATGGAAGCCATGGCAGCTCCCCTTACACCAGCGTCAACCATTGCTTAACACTCGGAAAAGTCACCTCTAATGCGGCACAAGTGGGAATAGTTTTTCGATCGCTGTCTGCATGTTACCGTGCGTTGTTTCACGTAAAACTATATTACACATCCGCTGTTATACGATGTTAAACTTTGTAATATGATAATATGACTAAACGTAATAAAACAAATGCACCTTTAGGCCAAGCAGAAACGACTGACGTCAGTCTTTTTACTTTTGTTCACTTGTACAGTTAAACAATGCTTTTTTGTAACTATGACTCCTCGACATGAAATGATATTGTTAAACTTATGCACTAAACACACAGGTGACTTAAAGGGAGTATTTAAAAACATATATCGCTGGAAGCAACAACAAAATTTGTTAGGGTTATTCAAATACTAAAGATAGCAATAGTCAACAAAACTTCTAGTTAACTTATTTCAAACAAGGTTAAGTTGGCAATTTTATAAAGTAAAGATAATACTTGGTGATGAAGATAAAAAAAAATACCGATACCAAGAACTTGCATTCCAAAGTTCTGTTTCGAACAAACAAATGGAGCACGATAGTTAGAAGAGATTTCGCATGCTTAATTTACTATACCAAATATACGTTAGCTGATGTGGCAAAAAGGTTAAAAAAACGTAATGTAAAATAATACAACATTAAAATCAGTGTTTCGTAAATAATAATTTATCTGGGGTGGGAGACCTGTAAATTTCACTTATATGATGTAAGCATCCCAATACAAAATTTTGGGATGTCGGTTTTCCTAACATTTCAGAATGAACTAAATATCTTTTTTTTTTTTTCACCTTTGACTTCAAAACCAATAATTCCATAGTTTAACATACTTGATGGTGGACGATGTCGATGGAAATAAGTTCCCAAAACTTAAAGCATACAAATACAAAAGCCTTACGTCTACTCTTACTGTCAGTTGTTTGTTTACCTACATCAAACTATTAGCCACACGAAGACTATATATAAACAGACGAACTGACTACAGGAATGCTGTAAACGACGTATACTAATGAGAAAACAAACAGCATAGGCATTAGAATTGTACCCTACCAATATGAACCTTGACGGACAAATTGGTTTGGTGTACACTTTATTCCCCTAACCCCAAGTAATATTTGCTTCCTTTGCCTGTGACCTAAATTATTTAAATAACCAATGTAAGGTCTAGTTAGCCAAACCATGTTAATTGTTATATGCTAATTTTGGATTTAATACACCTCTGAAGGTCTCACCTGTTTCGTTGCTTTTATACCCTACTCTTAATGTGATGTAGTTTTGTGTATTATTCATATATACATATATATACGGGATTTATGCTATGAAAATTTAACTTGTGTTTGACTTCTCTGCCAAAATATATTTTGTAATCTAAGTATTGTATCTATATTTCATATTTGTTTTTTGCAACCAACCTTTATTAATAAAACAACAACAACAAACATTTTACGACAGTAAAAACGGGTAAATAAAAATCCGTTTTATTTACGAGTTAGGCAGAGACTAAAGGGATAAAAATATATCAGTCTACGCTTTCCATAATATCCCAATAAATTGAATTCAAACATTTCATGAATGTTGAATATTATATAATACATGCAAATATATAAAGCAAAATGACAGCAATTTTTCATTTACAAAAGAAAATAAACTAAATGTTTTTAACCACTCTGAAATGAGGTGTCAAATTAGTACATAACCCCCTGCCCTGCTCGTGATTAAAGTCCATAGCAGTTTGATTGTGCGATAGCTGGAAAGGGATTGACGTGATTAACTTCGATTTCGTGAACCACTTCTGACCAATCACTGAGCTTCTTTTGACATAGCTCCAATCTGTCAGTCGAGCCTCAGTTTTTGCCTCCAAAATTTAAAATTCCTCGCTGGAGGTAGCACGTGACTATAATGACCCTCCCACAAGTGCTAGCTGTCGAACGCGTCAGTTGAACACAGAAAAATGTTTTGCTGTATGAAATGTATAAAATATTTTTCAATACTGTCTCAGAAATGATAAAACCTTATGTAGGTACACAAACTTAAAAACAACAACAATAATCTGTAAGCAAATTCTAGTGTTAAGTGGCGACATTAATATATTTAACAACGCAGAAATACGAACGTGGCTATAAGGTTTAAATATTTCACTCTTTATTTCTAAGATGTTAACTGAAAAAAGTGTTCATTAAAATAGGCGTTTTAAAGGTAGAATTTATTTTGAGGACAGATGTTTAAAAATCGAGAAAATCACGCCATCCACATATTTAAACGTAAAAATCTAACAGACAACAATAACTGCAACATTATACTCGTCATAGGTGAGTTGGATTACTACTTACAAAAAACAGAAATGTTCTAGAGGCTCATTTGTTCATATAACTTACTAAATAGGAGATTTCCACATCAAGCCAATATTTCATTTCATAATTACCCTCTCAGACATTTTAAACAAATACTTGACTGTATCTTATCAAACTGTGCATTTATCTTCATTAAAAAGTTTATCTTACAATGTGAAGAATACGAACTTGTAAAACACTACGTAACAAAAATTAAGAAGTTACAATATTCCCTTCTATAAAAAACAACAACAAAAAACGTAATTTAAACCAATAAAAGTAATAATGACATTAACGTTACAGAGAACAAAATTTACCAACCTTGATAATTAATGATTTACTGCAAAAACAATGATGTAGGTCCTCAAAGTGCTGTATACTTTATACTTTTATAGTTTTCTTGCTCGTAGGTTCATCACTTACTAAAGTGTCAGTCTTTTCACTAAGTCTAGCTGTAAGTTCACTGCAGACATATGACTTTATTATTGCATTAAAAAGTACAATATTGCCAACTGTACCATAAATGTATAATACATCAAGGCCCCCCAGTGTCTGCGGACTTACAACGCTAGAAACCGGGTTTCGATACCCGTGGTTGGCAGAGCACAGATAGCCCATGTGTAGCTTTGTGGATAGTTAAAAACAAACAAACAAACAATATATTAAGTTTGGAAAATTAAGCGAGTGCAAAAGTATTCCATTTGTTACTGACAGATTATACATTTTCTGTACACACGAATTGTAAAAACTAGCTGTACTTTCACTCAGTGGAAATATAAACTTAAAAAGTATATATTTATACCTTACCTGATTTCTATAGTTATGAAAAGAGTTTGACGTTTGCTGATATGGGTTCACGTTCTGTAAATTGTTCCAAGATGGATTAATTATTGGAGAATTGTTACTGTTGCCAACACCAGGGTACTGAGAGGTGATATTAGCCAATTCCCCAACTCCTTTTGAGACTTCTTGATTTCTCCCAAAATCTCCGTAATTGTTTTGATAATGGTGTATGGAATTTGGTACTTGTAATAGTTGGTTTAAGGTAGGAGTTGGTCCACCTTGTTGACCAACATTCTGATCTGAAGAAGAGAGAAAACGATTTTGTTGTGAAGAAGCACTGCTAGGATAACCACCCATTGCTGAGGCACTTGAGACAAGCCTTGATGGATGAAGCGAGCCAAAGTTCATCATTCGGGAAGAATGTGAAAATCCTACTCTTGATTGTTGGTTCAATTGAGAAATAAAATTATTATGGTTAAGCTGCGAGTTTAAATTCCCATCGTCACTGCTTCCAGACCCGATCGTACCGCCATGTTGTTCCTGTGGATAACTACCACCAGTACGGTCAACGTACCCTCGAACGTAGTTTGAAACAGAACCGTGATGTACGTTGTCTTGAGGATTTCGATACTCATCACTCGGTAACACGGATTCCCTAGTGGTTTGGTTATATGTCTGAAACTCAGAATTGATTCGTGGTCTCTCCAAGTTTGCGTTAAATGCTGCATGTTCAGCACTGATATTTGCTGATGTAGACCTACCTCCATGTTGAAAGTTTTCCATTATCATGTCTTTCTTTGAGTTTTCTGGGTTCTTATTTGGTGATCTGACTTTATTGTTTACAATAAAGTTACCTTTTGCTTCTTTAGTAAAACGAATTTCTTCAGCTGCAGCCCCATTCTTTAAGATTAAAGTCCCATACCCACTTCGAGTTAAATGATCTCCATTATCAGGCCTTTTCTGCTCCGTACAGTTCTCCAGTGCCTGCGCTGACGCTGCCATACTTGCCTAAGTCGACACCCAACTACCAAACATAGTTGCAATATGAACCTGTACCTCGGGATGGCGTACCCGAAATCTCATGTTGGTCCTTGTTGACTTCCGACAGAGCACGTGCTTTCAGTCAGGCAGGTTGAGACGAGTAAATCAAGGGTTAAGGCAACGTGGTCTTATCATCTATACACTCTATTATTCTCTGTACTTCAAAAGCGGGAACCATCTGTAATGCAAAAAAAAAAGAAAAAACTAAATCATTCCGCGAAATGTTTAAACTACCTCAGAGTTTCAAACATTTAGATTAAGAGCACAATTAACATGAACAAAATTATGTAAAACTAAAAATTCATAGATTTCTGCTTGTATTCGTAAAAAGGGTGATGTTTTGGTGATTAATATAGCAGAACTCTTTTTAGTAATTAACTCTCGACGCGGACGAGTAAAATGTAGTAGGTAGTGAGGCGTCGGAGGCATTCTTTTCAAACGGCTTCTTTCGTTGCTCCGACCAGAATTTCTAGCTGACTGAGGCTGGTCAGGAAAAACTTGTTGTAGCTGCTTGTTCACTTTAGTCTCGGCTCCTTTGGGAACGTCGGCCTCGTAATATCCACTTAAGAGTCATTTCCAGCTAGCGTATGTGCTCATATTTTCAGATTTAGGTGCTTTAAAAAAACTTTAAATCTCGTGTCTTTGCCCTGTTCTCTTGTGAAAGCGATGTTTCGCGGAAATATAAGATTGATCTCACAAGAACCGTGCTGGATGTTCATGAACGAACATTTACCTATTTATGTCTTTCTCATGTATAATTCAAAAATTGAAATCCAATAACTACAATGTTCAGAGGGATGATACGCAAAGTACGGCTGGGAAGATGAATGAATTATATATATATCTGTGTATTTTTTTGCTGTGTATAATTTTTTTTTGCTAACATTTCTCCGCGTTTTATTTTATTTTTGTGAAAAGCATTCTAAAGTGATTCGATAGTAAGTTTTGATGTTTGCGTGCTGCTGATGTATTTCAATCGAAAGTTGAAACATTTATAAGATATAAACGCAATCGGGTACACGAGTGAGTTTCTGGCGTTACTCGTAGTAAATACAATATTATTTTTTTAAACCAAAAACTACGTTTTCAATAGTAACAATATTGAACAATGTCACTTCTCTACTTGTAGCGCATGTGAATAAACCTAACGTTTAAAAACGGAATCTTATCTTTAAGATATATGTATAAATATATATATATACTTAGTAATTCATCACATTCATAATTTTGTAGATGTTAGTGTGATAACATATGACAATGCAATTATTTTTTGAACAAATGATGTTTGTTTGGAATTAAGCACAGAGATACACAATGGGCTATCTGTGCTCTGCCCACCACGGGTATCGAAACCCGGTTTCTAGTGGTGTAAGTCCGCAGACATACCGCTGTGCCACTGGGGGCTTTAACAAATGAAAATCTAATGCTTTAATTTGTCTGTGATTTTAATGCATGTATTTAACAACTAGCTGACGTAACCATTCAACACAAGGGGAAGATATTGGATGTCAAGGGGAGGGGGTAACACAGGTTAACAGATGCAAACGCCGAACTCCTTATGCCACTCCCCAGGGTGTCATTAGGGTGCCTTGGAAATTTGATTAAAGATTAATAGAAGAGCACAAGGGCACCCAGGGCTCGGGAGAGAATTCTCTGATTCTGAGTCTCGACATCCTCTCTTACCCCCCACCCCCTCAATCGTATATATTATTTTTTTCCTTGCAAGACTCACCAAAACGCAGCATCAGCATATAAATACAACTTTTTGTAGAGAGAGAGAGGGAGGGCTTTTCGGTATCGTATGAGTAGAAAATATTTGCTTGAGCCCGAGCCCCTAAAGCACAGTGCATCCCTTCTCCCGGGCCCTGTGGGCACCCAGAGGAATGGCATATGGGTTCAAATATGAACACCCCACATATTACTCTCTAAAGTGCCGTAAGGGGGTGAAATAGGGGGTCAGATTCGGATGCATACTCCATATGACACCCCCCGGAGGTCCAAAGGTGCATACCAAGTTTGGTTGATATCGAACAAAACATAGACATGAAAGATGGGTACACAAACAGACAGCGTCCCCCGAGAAGTGACGTGTGAGGTCAGATCCGAACGCTGAACCCTTTATGACACTCCCCGGGGTTTATTGTCAAGTTTGATTGAGATCGGACAAAAGACAGTAGGCGTGAAAAGCAGACACACAAACAACATATTTGCTTAATGAAGTTTATGTATGTAAATCACTCGGAACACCTCGGCTGATTCCAGTTCTCTCGTGAAACCTCGGATATACGAAGCGGATTAATAAGCAGGCAATCCTCGCACTTCTGTTTCAGAAAGGCTGTATAGCCCTGAATTAAAGGTAATTTTTACTTCGATTTTCTCTATTTGCTCTGCAACTGTTTTCCAGTTTCATAAAGTTGAGGAAGGTATTTTAACTAGTAGCTTATCACGCTTAAACCATGGCAAGTTGAAATTCTCCAAAGCAGCAATACTATAATTTAAATTTAATTTAAGTCATACAGGTGGCGTATTAGAGAGTGGTTGATAATGGGTGTATACGTCACAGATCCGAGTTTTAATGTAGAGTATTGGAACTGGCAATTAAACCCCATTTCAAGAGTTTCTACAAGCTCAATGAACTTTTAACTGCATTTCAGATTACTCAAAATAAAGCATTGTTCCAACACAACATTAATGAGCAACATTAATTGACGAATAGATTCGTCAAATGTAGCCACAAGAAACATTTAAATACAAATAACGTTTGAGAAATATATACATTTATGTTAAGTATATTACACATTAATCATAATTCGATCTATATTTACGATTTCACAGTAATCAGTGATTAAGTTATACCTTTAAAATCTTCGTGATTTCTAAAGTAAACCAGACCACCCGTGACCCGTTGGGTCACCCACTATTCAGAGGTTATGAAGAATTTGAGTGAGAAATTTTTCTCATTTCCTTACCTACCATAACCAAGGCACATTATTGAGAAATTCTTCCAGATCTTGTTTTTGTCATCTTAAGCCTTTTAATGAAGATGGGAACATTGAAAGGGGAATAGATTTGAACGAAAAAGTTTCGTAAAGAGCGCGAACGGTAGTGTGATGTAAAATTACTCATGCTAGAAATGTTCATAAAAGTGATCCGAAAAACAGGGCTAACTCGGTAACCCGTGGCCCGATTTTAACGAAACTTATTTCATTCTGTTTCTATTCTCATTTCTCATATATAATCATTCTTATATTCTCATATCGTGCGCAGTTTTTGCTATATTTAATTACAGACAAGCAAACAAACAATCTCAGAGTTTTAGTAGTATATAGATTGACGAGTGTTTAAGACTAAACTGAAACTGACGTTTGATTTGAGAAGACTGTAATTACATACCACTTCATAAGTGCTAAAGTAGAGTAGTTTAAAAAGCAAATTAAACTTTTAAGCAAGCATTGGATTTTCAGCACTAATATCAAGTTTGTTTTTAATTTTACAGTTCATCTGAAATATGAAAGTTAATAATCGTTCAGTACATTTTCTGTTACTGTAGTTATTTTTTTCAGAACATTAACAAAAGTATAACATTTCATGTCAAAAATAACATGTTGTTATGACGATAGTTTGGAGTTGAGAAAAGATTGTATGTTTTACTGTTTCAAATGAAAAGACAATAGGATGAATATTATGTTTTACAGGTTTTGATAGTTTCTGTTATTTTTTATTCTTTTAAAAAAAATTTTGTTTCGGTACCTATTTGTATTTTTTTCTTTCATTCATCGGTATTCTACCGTAGGTAGGTCTGGAACTCAAACCACACAGTGTCAATCAAGATGCTACTATCAGTCACTCATTCCTCTCCAGCATTCCCTATCTTCCGAGCTTCTCTTCAAATCATCATACGCTCTTCCTTCTTTCAGCACATCTAGTAGCGGCATCCTCTTCATTCTACGTGAACGTTTTCTTCAAATTCGTCGTATTAAGAATTATTTCTTGTTTGTTACAGATTTCGCGCAAAGCTACACGAGGGCTATCTGCGCTAGCCGTCCCTAATTTAGTAATGTAAGACTAGAGGGAAGGCAGCTAGTCATCACCACCCACCGCCAACTCTTGGGCTACTCTTTTAGCAACGAATAGTGGGATTGACCGACACATTATAACGTCTCTATGACTGTAAGGGCGAGCATATTTGGTGTGACGGAGATTCGAACCCGCGACCCACAGATTGCGAGTCGAGCGCCCTAACCACCTGGCCATGCCGGGCCCAATTCTTTCTTAATAAGAGTCTTCTTATTTCTTCCAACAGAGTTCTTTTCTCACCCATTTCTAAAAGTTTCTTGTATTATAAAATTTATATATTTCAAATTTCTGACGAAGAGTTCGAGGTACCACAAAACTAGTCTACGATATCTTGAATAAATTCCCTAGTTAAGAAGTGTTTGAGAAGCTTGTTTCATTCTTTGTTATATACGCTTTAAAAACTCATACATAATATGTGCGCGTAAACAAACATTCTTAGTTTAAAGCTTATACAAACATGCGTGTGAACAAATCTCCATTGTTTAAAGCTCATACATATTTGCGTGTGAACGAATCTTTATAGTTAAATATTTCGGACATAACTATTTGTAAACGAATCTTTATGATTAAACAATTTGAAGTTCATAATTTATTATAAGGTTAATTTTGATTTTGACTCGTGAATGAATAATAGTAAAACCAATTTCGTTAGTGAAATTTATGTTATTGCCTTTATACAGATTGTTGAGTACGTTATATTAAAACGATATTGAATATTCAAATCAACAGGTCACCTGACAACCACAATATATACATAAGAAATAAACACATATATATATATACATAAGAAATATATACATAAGAAATATATACATAATAAATAAACATACATATATATACATAAGAAATAAACATATATATATATATACATATATACATAAGAAATAAACAAATCGAATATACAAATATAACACAAAAAATGAACATATATATATATATATACATATATACATAAGAAATAAACAAATCGAATATACAAATATAACACAAAAAATGAACACAACTGATATAAAGATGTG